AGTTGCACAATTGGTGGCTGGCTAAATACTTTTTTGCCCCACTGTATAATTAAGGCATGGTCACAGCAGGTTTCAGTGCCTGGCTGATCTCAGAAAAGCTAAGGAGGACTGGAACTGGTCATACTTGGATGGGAAAGCATCAGGAAATCACAGCTGTACGCAAGATGGGGGAGTTGGAAAAAACCTCCAGGAAGAAGTCAGCAGCAAACCACTTCTCTACTGCTGCCGAAGACAGAATCTTTAATTAATGACTGCACTAACTCTGGCTTGGAGGAGAATGCCATAAATTGCTCAAATGGACAGAACAGCAAATTAGAAATGGCGCTAAATAGGAAACTGGGAGGATAGCCCCAAGCAAGAGCACACAAGACTATGGTTTTTTTTTCTATACCTGTAAGCCATTATTTGGAAATTTATCTGAAGTGAGCCACTGTTTTCTTCCAAGCTGCTACGAAACCAGCTTCCATCATTCACAGCATTCCTGTATGTATCTGATTAGAATGCAAATTATTTTAAATGCAGTGGGTCTTACTCCCAGACAAAATTATATGGATTACAGCTTACACAGCTTTTGTGTAGTAAACCTGTTTCAAAGGATTTTTCTATACAAAACAGAGTATCTTTAAATAAAATAATAATCACAAGCAGAGTATGGTTTTATTTCCCAGTTTTAATTGGATTTTACATTCAATTTGCAAAGAAAAATACTTTACAAAAACTCCATGAATAGATAATAACTGATTTTCCAAGAGGAAGGTAAAAGTTAAGTTTATGGCTGGATGTTTTAGAGACTAGTGCTAGTTTTTGGAAGTCTATATTTGTGCTAGATCTAGATTTGGAAGTCTAGATTTGTGTCAGGTATGCGTTTCTTTAAATAGATAGAGTATTAGGGTTTTTGTTTTTTTGTTATAAATACTTGGGTGCTAAGATCTCACTGTCAGTCCTTCATTGTCAAAATATGACTGAACTGCTAATAAACTAGCCTCTCAGAATTAAAAGAACATCAGTCATATCTCTTGTTTTTGTCAGCATAAAAGAATGGCTGATCTCATTTAATTTGCAGTTATTAAGTCCAAATGGTAATTTAATACAAATAATAGTGTAGCTTGTGGGGAATAATTCAATCAATGTTATATTTGCAGTCCATTTTGTATCACTTGAAATACTAAGGTCTATTCAATTTCCAGTTTTTAACACTGCTGCTGCTTGCTTTCTTCAATAGCCACTCATAATTCCTTCTCCTTTTTTGGTTAGGTATCAGTCAGACAGACGTGATCAACTGATACTCAACTTTATAATTTAATTCCCAACCTCCTTTTGCTCTGGGTCATAGAACGTTTAAAATGCCTTATTTTTCACTTGTATCTTGCAATGGTGATTTGCAAATACAGGCAATTACAATTGACAGTTGTTTTATTTCATTTTGGCTGGTTCTACCCATTTTGCTAAGCTAGCCACTGTGGCTTCTAAACCATGGTTTAAGGTGTATGCACATGTGCAGAATTGTGTTATCTGAGGGCTGCATGCTGCCAGAGTGGGTGTGGCCAAGAATATGGGCTTTCTTTTTGCATCTTGGGTTGGTTAGAGGAGCAAAAATGAGTTCTTTAAAGCTAAGAGATTTGAAACACCCATTTTACCTCTTCTAAACAATGTTGGATAGAACTCTTGAACACTTACATAATATGTAATGCAATGTAATACAGCTATGTGCCTTGTTCAACAAATTATGTTTACAACAAACCATGCCTTAGTGAGATGTAGCAAAACAGTCATTTTAGAAGCTGGTTTGTGCTTAGGGAACCAGGTTACAACCGAAGCAGTCTTTCCAAGCACTTGCGGTGATTATTCTATACATAGTAGTGCTAAAGATCCTATGCTATGTCATAACTTGTATGCTTTGGTTTAATATCAATGCAGCTGTAGCTACTCTGATTTGAGTAAAATGAATACATCATGTGCTGAGAATTCCTCTGTTTATTATTGCTGCGGGTGTTCTGAGATTGAGGCTTAGATCAAATCAGACCTTGGGTTCTTCAAGTTAGAACCTGAAGACCTATCTGGTGCAGTGCTATTTCCTTCTGACTTTTCATATTTGGTTCTCAGTGATGAGCCTGGTGCCTTCCTTTGTCCATGTTCTATTCAGAAGAAATGGCTTCTTTTTTCTTCCTTTGATTTTGTATTAAATGTGTGTTCCTTCATTAGCATGTGCTGTTGTTTTGGAGGAGTTAGATTGGAAAGAGGGGAGTAGGGTGTAGTAGCATTTCTACCAGCTTAATCTTATTTCCCCCCTCCCCCTTTCCCCTTAAATCTGTTCTCAAATACCTTTTCTAAATAGGCACTTTCTCATCTAGAACAGCTTCTGTTTTAAATTAATTAACCTGGACACATTTGGGATAAAACTCACTTCAACATTCAGGCAAATTACCTTAAAAAAAGGGAAGAGGATGGACACTCATTATCAGTGGGCTCCTACATCATGTAAAGCCATGATGTGATTTTACTGGATTTCAGCTCGAAGAGAGATGGCACTTTCTATCATTTTAAGGGCTGCCACGTTCCAAAAGCGGAAAGAGCCAAGAATTCAAAGTGACTGGGTATAAAATCTTTGCTGAAAGTGACTTTTCTTAGCACACAAAAGTTCCTCTTCATTTATCTCTGCAAAAGTATTCCAGGAGATAGCATAGCATAGCATAGCAGAAGGAGAAGGAGAAGGAGAAGAAGAAGAAGGAGAAATCAGGGAGCGGAGAAGTGAGAAGAGCCAGAAAAGGGAAAGAAAGATAGTCCTGGGGATAATGAAAAAGCAGAAAAACTGGAGAGGGGAGAGATGCTGGTAGGTGGAGCAGATTGAGAACAGAGAGGAAAAACAGAAACATTATTTAGGAGAGTGAAACATCAGAAAAGTCAAATGTGAAGGCAGAGAAATGCAGAGGGGCATAGGAGACATGAAAACTGATGGGGAGGCAAGGAGCAGGTAGAAAAGATTGGTTGGAATGTGAGAGGAAGAGAGGAGGCAGTGGAAGAAACTGTGATCCCAGGCAAAGCACTGTGTGGATGCTGGGGAAGAGAAGATTGTGGGAGGTGAGGGGCAGTTTGCCTCACAGGTGACGACCCCATCGGGCTGCATCCAGTCCAGGGGCAATAGTTTGCTCATCTGGCTTGGAGTAGTGGACAAAGATAGCCCGTGTGGTGTAAGTGTGGTTTATGGCATACCATATTGTGCAAGCCCAGGCCATTTTTGGTTTGTTCAATAAATGCCAAGTTAGCCAATAGCTATGCATGCTTGCAGAGATATGCATGCATTTAAATATGAGAGGGAGCATCTTGACATATTTCAAGGTATGTTGCCTTTCAGAATGAAAAAAGAATGGATAACATTTGTACTGGCAGTGGCACGCGTTCCTAAAATTTCCAATTGAGAAACAAATAGTTCTAGTTATTTTTCTTGCTTTCATCAATTAGAAAAACCCATCTTTTCAAAGATTAAGTTCAAGAACATTTTCTGAAAAGAGCATCATTTCCAAGAAGCATAGATTTATTCAGTAAGGGACCAAAAAGGAATATTGTGTTCTCAGGAAGAAAAAGAAAAAGGAATAAATGCTGTGCCAAAAAACATCCACTAACTTTCCTGTTTGCAGTGCCAACATAACATTGCATTGATTTAGAAGTAGGTTTGCGCAGCACTAAGCCCATTGACTGCAGTTTTAATCAATTTTAATAAGACCCTTCAGGTCATACTCCTAATTTAAAACCCTGGAAACTCTGACTGCATACACTTGCTAGAACTGCTTCATTGGGTTTTAAAAGCTTTTTCTTCTTTTTTCTTTTAAGCTGGAAAATAAATTTTATTTCTTGGTTCAGTTTTGTTTCCTCTTGCTGCATTTCAATTCAATTTCTGGTTTTGATTCATTTCCTTAGAGCAAAGGTTGGAACTGAGTCCATTCCCTTACCTGCGCTAGCATGAAAAGTGGTCTCTCTATAGTAGAAAATAAAACACCACGAAAATTTTTGTCCCATTTTTCCTACCAATAATTGTTAAGAATAGAATACACTTCACCTTTGATTATGAATGCCACTAATGTCTGCTCGAGGTCTATGGCTGCAATAAATAATATGATTTTTTTTCTTGCTGTGCATATTATGGAATTGCTCTGTCTTCTTGTTTTAATGGTTAAGCTTTATATGTAATTTTGTATCATTCTGTCAGTTACCAAAGTAATTTGTCTTGAATGCTGTTGATCTGCCATAATTAATATAAGAAGTAAATGTTAATTGTAATGTGTAGTATTTAAACATAAGGGAGTCTTGCATTTCTTTTCAGTCCTATTAGGCCTCTTATAAAAATATATTCTATTTTAATTGGTCACCATTAATTTTATTACCAAACCAAATGTTTTCTCTGTAAGCTAAATGCCATTAGTCAAATTTTACAGCAGGAAAACTGTCCATAAGTAAATTACTGGCCCATTTTTTTTATCATGAAGTATAAATGGCATCGGTGTGAGTTGCTTAGAAGAATAAATTTGGAGCCACAGTGTATTTCTCTGTCCCTTATCAGCTTTTGGGGTCTTGTGTCTCTGAATAGACCAATGTTTTTCAAACGTGGCAACTTTAAGATGTGCAGACTTCAACTCCCAGAATTCCCCAGCCAGGATGTAGCCATGGGAATTCTGGGAGTCGAAGTCCACACATTTTAAAGTTGCCAAATTTGAAAAACACTGGAGAAGAGAGTATCTTACTATCATAACATAGGTGGTAGCACCCTGATTTACTTGTTAAATTTTAGATTGGTCCAAACCTGCCCTAAAATTAGTATTTCAACTTGTGGTAGCTTATTCAAAAACACTGAATATCTGTATATATCACTTATTTCTGCAAGCACAACTTTGATGCGCTTAACTGCAGGAGGATTTTTCTTTTCAGAATCAATGGTAACAGAAAATGTCTTTATTTATGTACTCTTACTAAGGGATTTCCTTTTTGTTTTGTTTTTCTTTAATTAGGCAAACCGACCTCCTGCAAAGCTCAATCTGTTAACTTGCCAAGTGAAAACAAATCCAGAAGAGAAAAAATGTTTTGACCTCATATCACGTAGGTTTGTTGTTCAGTTTTGTAGGTACTCTTATTTTAGTTAGTTCTACTTACTTCAGTATTGTCTCAGAAAAGGAGTTAATGGTGAGATTCCAAAGTTCAGTCCTAACAGTTAGAATATATTTACTGCAGCTTGCTGTGTTTAAACATTTGTCTTTTCATATATCATTTTATATGTGTGTCAGTAAAGCTATTTGTTGCTTTTTCTGTTATCGTTGCTATGCTCACTGTGAGGTGCAACTTCATACATTTTTCAAATTGGATTCAACTATGCTTTCCTGACGTTGCTGCAGAATTAAATCTCAGTTATCATGGAATACGTTTAGTGTAATTGTGTGAACATTTGTAAGGCAGATGACAAAATTATAAATAACTGCCATTGTACTTTTTCTTGAGAATAAGATTTCTTCTTTCGTACCAGGAAATGATAGAGGATATTACATATCTAAAAGGATAGACAACTGCTCTCACCAGCAGTGGCCCGCTTCTTGCTCTTGTATGTCACAAAGTAGTTGTAAGCGTGGTTACTGTGGAGCAAAACTAATTTGTCCATACAGTGCAGCTTTTGTGAAGGAAACGAAAGGTCACTGCAGCTTGAGGGAACATTTTACCCAACACCAAAGAGCAGCAGAGGACAGAATGGGCAGACCAGAAAAATTGGGAGGCTGAATGTGGACAAAAGCCAGAGGGCCATAAGAAGAAGAGGGTGTATTGTGAATTTCACAGTAACCAGCTATATATTTTGTTAGTGGCCTTACAGTTCCACTTCTTATAATAACAGTATCCTAGATAGTCATGCATATTAATAAATCATTCAGCCTATCATTCTGATGGTTCATTGGATTTTACTGATTTGTGTGAATAAGATGCTAGAAATGATACCATTTAAACAGCATTTTCTTTTCTTTTTTATGAATACAACTGTATTTATAACAGTTCTCACTTAGGTTTTTAGAATTAAAATATGATTTGGGGTTAGCATTAGTGAATTTTTGCTTCTGTTGAAACTTTTTACGTGTCACCATTATATTATAAAGCTGCTTGGTAGGCTACACACTTAAAAATCCTGATATGAAATTCTGAATTACTGAATAATATTTTGTCTATTAATGTTGGTTTGATCATGATCCTGTGCAGATTATTTTTTAAGATGGGGTATGTTACAGATGTGCTAATTATTTTCTTTCCTCCTCCTCTTGTTATATGCATGAATCTTTGCTTACTTTACTATTTGCCTTATCCATAATTAGAACTGTCTCAATATAACACAGCTGTAGTTAAGGATAGTCCAAATCTAAGGCCAATTCAAGGCACCATTATAAGTTTGGAAACAAGTGTTATCCTCAGGATAGACTGAGATATGAAGCTAAATTATTGTTGGATTTTTCTTTGGAAGGGAAGATGAAATTTGCTTGTGAGAGGTGAGCAGAGAGAAAAGTGTGCAGTTAGATCCTGGCACATATCCATAACATTTAGTGCTGGGTTTGGGGGGGGGGTTGGTAGTTTTCGTCTGTGTTTTGATTGATTTAGTGCTGCTTTATCTCTATTTCTGTCAATGCTGTGCTTTTAGATTGCATATTTTTTGTCAGAAAGGAAACAGTTACTTAGTCACGCAAAGTGGGTAATCAGTAAATAGTCTGCAGATAGAATTTGGACATCAGAAATATTACATAATCGTTTATTTGAAGCTTTACAAATTACTGAGAAAGACCTATTTTATTTGTGTTTGAAGAAGAGATACTTTTGTCTGTTTAAATTAGGGGTTATTGGTAAGTTAGAATTAATATTTTTTTTAACCTAGATATTTTTTTTTAAGATAAGTGCTGCTCAATTGTTCCATAGCTCCCTTGATAACAAGAGCAGCCAAGTTTACCAACAGGCTTTGCCTTAGTTTCTGTTTCTGTTTTTACTCTGATTGCTGGTTTCTTATTCCTCTAATAAAACAAGTCTGAAACTAGATGTGACATTATTTATCCATGCCTAGTTGGTTAGAAGGGAGAAAGGCAGTGTCCTGGATTGGATGCAGTCAATGGGCTAAAACTACAAGGAAGCAGTTCCAGGCTAGACATTTGAAAGAACTTCCTGTTTGATCTGTTAGCAAATGGATAAAGTCACCACATGATGTGGTGAGTTTGCTTTTGCTAAAGGTCTTCAGACAGAGGTAAGATGGTCATTGGAGACTTTCTAGTGGATCCTGCATTGCAGGGAATTGGATTAAATAACTTCTGTAATCCTTCCAATTCTGTGATCTTCTCTATTTGCTTTGTGTATTGTTCATTTCTTTTGCTGTATCCTATTTTATATTGCTTTCTGATGTGTAAAGAAAATGACTGTAACTCTCTTTTCTCTCTTTTTAATACCGTTTTTCCAGACTGAAAAATTTGGTCAACAGAGTGTGTTCTATAACCTGTTTAGGATTATTGCTTGTGTTTTTGCATTGTTAAATGTAAACACTTGCAATTAGCCCAGCTTCCAATGAACATGGATAAAAAAGGATTTAGCCACATTTTATTTTCTTACCCATCTGAATCTCATTAACTGAAAATCGAGAGTTTCCCCTTGGAATTGGAACTATCTCCCTCCCCCCCTTGTTTGATTATGCCAAACATCTTTTTCCACATTCATTGTATCTTCATTACAGATGTTCACTCCAAGAGCTGTGTTGTGCTTCCAGGCATGTGGGGGTGTGAACCTAGCACCTATCTGGAAGCCAGAGGAGCTGTGCCTTTTACCAGAAACTGCCTGCTCTTAGGAAAAGGCACATTTTGTTTAGGAGTGGTGATAGATACTGTGTTTTTATTATCACATGCTCTGAAGCACCTGTTTTGTTTTGTTTTTTGGGTTTTTTTTTAATATCGATTTAGCCCATTTGTTCCCTGAATGAACTAAAATATTTATCTTATTCATTACTCCCTTCCATTCAAACCTGTTTCTGTTGATTCCTGAAATTTCTCTCACTGGCTACTAACATATTCTGATCCTTGTTGCTTGCCAGTATTTACATGTCATTTCTCCTATCACCTGTTTTTTTGGGGTGGGGGAAGGGAGGACTCATATGAACTTAAGATACTTCATAAATAGGATTAAATGTAAGATATATGTTGGCCCTGTTACTCATTCTCTTATTTAGTACTTAAGAAGTTTTCCTTTGCTGTTCAGTCCCCTTATTTTGCTTTTGCAAGCAATCTTTTTTCATTCCCACGGAGTGGTTGTCAAGAGCAGCCCCATATAGAGTCCATTATAGTAATCCATTTGTGAGATGACTAAGGTATGAGTGACTGGAGGACCTCCTGGTCCAGGAAAGGGCACAATTGGTGCACTAGATGTACCTGTGCAAAGGCCCTTTTGGCCACAACTACTACCTGCTCTTCAAGCTACAGCTGTGAGTCCAAGACTACCCCCAAAGTGCATACCAGTCTCTAATTGGGAAGCACAATCCCATCCAAGATGAAAGATGGAAGAACCTAGACCCAGGGGCCCCAAATATCCACAGCCACTCAATCTTTTCAGGACTGAGCCTGAGTCAGTTCTTCTCCAGCCAGACCTACATAGTCTCCAGGCACTGGCACAGAACTCGACAGCATCATGTGATTGGCCCAGGACCAAGATATACAATCAACGTATCATCAGTATACTGATGATACCTAACCCTGAATTGACAAATTGACAAATGACCTCACCCAGCAGTTTCATAGAGGTGTTGAACAAAAGGGGTAAGAATGTAAAGCCCTGCAGCACCCCACATGTGAGAGGCCGTGGACTTGATCTCTCTCCCTCTGGTAACACTGACTGAAACCAGCCACAAAGAAAGGAGAAAGTTACTACTGCAACACAGTATCTCCCACTCCCAAGCCTCACAGCTGGCCCAGAAGAATACCATAATAAGCGATATTGAAAACTGCTGAGATCAAGGATCACAAGGATGGATGCCTTATCTACATTCTGGACCTGTTACAGGACATCATTCACCCAGGATCCTCTGGAGCTGAAGCCCAATCACCTTCTCAGCAGCCTTCCTAAAAAGGGAAGGTTGGAGATTGGACAGAAATTGTCCAGGATCATTGGATCCAGTGACGGCTTCTTGAGCCTCCTTCAAGGCCAAGGGGATAATTCCTCCACTTAGATACCACTGCATGGACCTAACCACTGGTCACATCCTGAGTGATCTTGACCAACCAAGGGAGACCCGGATCTAACAAACAGGTGGCTGAGCTCACAAGTCTGGACAGAGACCCTGTCCATTTCCTCAGGAGTCGCAGTCACAAACGCACTCCAGATAATCCTATTAGACTCTGCCTCAGGCATCTCCAGCTGGAATCGAACTCCAAGTGAATCTGAGTGACTTTATCTGCCAAACAGTAAGAATAATCCTCACAACGGCCCAATAGATGTTCCTGTGGCTCACTATCATTACATCCTCAAAATTTGGCAGTTGAAACTTTGCAATCAAATTTTGTGGTGTATGAAGTTGACGTGCAAGGGGAGGGGCACACAAGTTGACCTTCATGTTGCAGTTGTTCATCCTCTTCCAAAAGCATTTACACTTGTACATGGGCCCTGTCACATCTGGCCTCCCTGTCCAAAAGCTATGGGATACTTTTCAGGGGACTTGTACTAACTGATTATGAATTATAGAAAGTAATGAAGATGCCCTTGACAGAGATAGGCCAGATCCATTACCAAAGCAACAAAGAGAAAAACATGACTTATGTCCAAAAAAAGAAGAAAGTATGCACAAGTGACTGAGGCAGATACCTCCCTAATTCAAATGAGTATGAGATGTGGGTGGGGGAAGTAAAGCACAGTCAGACTTGCAAAATTCTGTACTATAGCCAACATTAATAAAAGTAGTTTGAACTTTCTTGTGGAGTTGATATCTTGGTTTGGTCTACATAGTGGGACTGACATCAATCTTGCAAGTCTGGATGTGCTTTACTCCCCACCCCTTTATACAAGTTCCTTGAATAACTTAGGATGCAGTTCAGCTGATCCTGGAGACTTAAAAGCATTCAAAATAAATAGGTATTCTCTGACCTTGTTTCTGTCAATCTGAAACTTCAGTCCTGCCCCTTCATTCTGCTCTTCATAATTTCCCAGGGGAATACATATTTCTTTATTGGAAACAAAGAATACTATAAACCAATATAAAGATTGAGTTGCTCTGCCTTTTGTTACCTCCTAACATTTCCCCATCTTTGTTGAGTAGCTGATATATTAATTATTTTCCTTTTATTTTGAAAGTATCTAAACAAGCAATTTTTTAAAAGCAATTTTTAGCAGCCTTGGCTAATCTTAGCTTATTCTGAGCTTTCACTTTCCTGACACCAACCCTTAATTCTAGACTACCTGTCTGTACTATTTCTTTGTCACCTAATCCTCTTTCTGTTTGCATCCTTTTTTCATACATGGCTTCTTTTGCCATCCTCCATTTTTTCTTTGTTCGAATTGTTTGCATTTATGCCTTTAGTATTTCTTTCTTTAGGAATTTCCCCTCATCTTGAGTTGCTTTTTCCACTAGCATCTCCTACCATGAGATCCTAATTATCATTGCTCTGAGTTCAGTAAAATATTTGTATAAACCAATGTATGTATTTTAGTTTCCCTTAAAATTGAAAACTTAATTTCACGGTCACTTTCACCTTATTATTTCGCTTCAAATAACTTTTTCCTGTTGATTAGTTTCCGGTCAAAGATAGCTGATTCTCTTGTGCCTTCTTTCATCCTTTGAAGGCAAAATTATAATCAAAAGAAGTCAGGAATTTCATGGAAGGATTATGCTTGGCAGAATTTATTTTCCAACAGATATTGGAGTAATTACAATCTTCCAACATTATGACTTCACTCCTCTTTGAAAGATCTGCAATTTACTTTTGGAAGGCATTATCCACATTATGATTAGTTGGGTGGGTGATAGACATTGCAAACAGTGTTGCTTTTATTTTGTTCTCCGCTTACTTTAACCCAGATGCTCAATATGGGACTGCCAAGTTCATATATTGGAATTTCTGAACAGAAATGGATATTTAGCTTGCTGAAGATCAGAGTTATTTGCATTGCTTTAGCTGGAAGGTAAAGGCCAGGCACTACCATCAACTGTTAGTCAAGCTTGATAGTAGAAACAGATTTTAAAAAATACATTGAAAGTGAATTAGAAGAAACTTTTATGAAAAGAAAAGCTAAATATAACTGATCAAACCAAATATCCACTTAGTTAAGACCATAGTAATGCCTGGCAAGATATTTATTACAAATAACTATTGTTATGGGAGTGCTTCTTCTTTGGACCCAGAATGCTCATATTCCAGTTATATGGGGAAACAGGATGGAGAAATAATCAACATGTTGTTAACAGTGACTTCTAAAATGTGTACTAACCTCTGTTTATTCTAGCTAGTGCTGAGCATGATGCAAAAATATTTGCTCTTGTATATGAAATGGTAGTAGACCAAATTACCTCTAGATTGCTTAACCCTACATGAATGTTCTGGTTAATTTTAACCCTATCTAATGTATAGGACAGTGATTTAAATTCCAATAATGAGATCAATTTTTAATAAATGAGTTAATTGTTCATTAAAATGTTTAATTTGAGTAAATAATGTACATATTTATTTGTAAAAATAAATACATAGAAAAATGAGGAATATGTTATTATTTTATAGATGACAGAACATATCATTTCCAAGCAGAGGATGAGCAGGACTGTCAAATGTAAGTTGCATTAATGTTACAGGTAGTCCTCATTTAGTGACCACAATTGGGACCTGCAACTTGGTCATTAAGTGAAGCCATTGCTAAGTGAAACTGCGACTGTGCTTACTTCAGCTTTCCTTTGCTTTACAGACCTGTGAAGGTCATAAATGTGAGGATTGATCATAAAGTTACTTTTTCATCACTGTTGTCACTGCAAACAGTCGCTAAATGAGCTAGTCACTAGATGAGGACTACCTGTATATCTTTGTTATCTTTCATTACTCATTATAATGGTGGATAGATTATGATAAGATTTTTTTTAGAAGGGAGGTGTTCCTCCTACCTTAGTATCACGTAGGCAAAGTAAAGAAAATGAACTCTGGATTTGTATATTTCTTATATAGCATGAGCGTGCACCTTCTTTTAAGTTGATTGCTTAAAAGAAATTACTAATTTACAGACTTTCTTGAAAAATCTTCCAATATTTTAATATGTGCTTCTTGAACATACATTTTCAGTTTCTTAAATATTAGATCTGACAATTGGGTCTTGTCAGATGCAGCATGTAGACAGAGTAATAGGCCCAAGCAGAAAATGGAGGTGTAAAAACATACTTTTCTTAAATAATATCCATTATTTTTATAAATATACTTCCTTGCATCCACTCTTTCCCACCTTATGCAGACTTAAAATCACTAACTTAATGACAGCTAAGTTAAGTTAATCAAAATGGGTGGCAGTGGCAGTAGCAGCTGCAGAGGTTGTCCACCCATTATGCACAAAATATTTGAGAAACTGAAAATGTATGTTCAAGAAGCACTTATTAAAATATTGGAAGATTTTTCAAGAAAGTCTGTAAACCTAGTAATTTTGGAGTCTGTGATCATAGTTTTAATAAATCTGTAGTAATTGATTTACGTTTGTACAAAGATAAAGGATACCCTCAACCATTTTGACTTCATAACAGCTAAAATGTATGTAGGGAAATTTTGGCTCAAACCAGTTAGCCCTACTTGGAATGGTTTATATGTTTGCTGTTCCTTCTTTAATTTATTTTGTAGTGAGAGACGTCCAGACCTTATGATGAGCATATTTCCTATTTCTCAATTTCTTTTTATGTGACTTCTAATCCATCCCTGGAAAATTGACTTGAAAGCAATTTATCTCCTCTCATTTTTTGGTAGCCTAACTTCAACGTTTGTAAACCTTCTGCCTTTATTTAAATTTCATTCTGTGAGGCTAGTAGAAGACAGTCAGTTCAATTTCACACCATAATATATGTTTTTATTTTTCAAGTTGGATATCTGTACTGCAGAATAGTAAAGAAGAAGCCTTAAATAATGCCTTCAAAGGTGATGATACCACAGGAGAAAACAACATTGTCCAAGAACTGACAAAAGAAATAATATCTGATGTGCAGAGAATGCCTGGAAATGACATGTGTTGTGACTGTGGCGCACAAGGTGACTTTGAAATCTTGATGAAGTACTTTACTTAAAAAGTTACTGTCTCTGGGCAGGAAACAGAGGTGAAACTGGACACCAGAATACCCAGTATCCAGCTCAAAGACTTAGTAAATAAACAAATGCTGTAGGGCCAAATAGAGTTTTCTGAGAACTCACAAGACAAGAGCGATCAAGAATGTTTTCAAGGGGATGCTTAGGAGAAATTGTATAATCTTTTGGGCAGTGATTAAAAATTAAGTTTAAAAATTGGGCTGGGGTAGATTTGATAATCCCTGTCATAAAGGAAAAGCTATCAATTATATTGCAGTCAAAAAAAGTAGCATTAATCAGTCGGGGAAACTAATTACAAAAAGGCCCTTTGTTGGTATTTAACTTTTGCCTACCTGGACCACTTTTATTCAGTTGCAACAAGATTAAAATATTAGAAATGTCACTCTCAAACTGCATTTTATTCACATGTGTTGGTCATGTTACACGTAAAAATGTTGGTAATATGTCATGAACATGATCTCAGAGATTCTAAGAAAGATTGTAAGGATGAATCTGGGAGTTTCTTAATTGTTGGTACTTTTTAACATAATAGTTTAACTTTAAAATTGGATTATTTTTTGATGGTCCACTCACACTATAACAGATGTTCTTTCTTCATGCATGTTAGTTTTATAATTTTATGCACACTGGAGTTGTGCAAATAATAATCTCTGGAATGGTCAATTTTCTTTCCTTCTTCCTTTTCCTTATTCACCCAACCCAGTCACTATTTCCCTGTGTTCTAGCAACTCAAAGTTCTATTTTGTAAATTTTTGAAGTACAAATATAATAAAGCAGTAGATATCAGCAGTATGGATTCTTTTTATATTATTGAGTTATATATAAATTCAGGTACTTCATGATGAAATAACCCTTACAGAATTTTCATTTCTATGAATAAAACAATCTAATCATTGCCAGTAAGACTCAGAAGTGTCTTGAATAGATGGTTTCACCACCCTGTCCAACAGTGGGGTGATTTTTGTTATTATCTCTTTCCCTTCTAGATCCAACCTGGCTCTCAACAAATTTGGGCATTTTGACTTGCATTGAATGTTCAGGAATACACCGAGAACTTGGCGTCCACTATTCTAGAATGCAGTCGCTTACATTAGATGTGCTGGGTACATCTGAATTGCTGGTAAATTAAGAGTATTTCTGTCAGAAAAAAAACTGTGAGGATCAGTATAAATGTGTCTTCTAGTCTATTTTTGTAGACTTTATCCAATAGCATCCTTCTACCAGGGAAAATGACACTACAGCAGTTCTCCCTCCTGTAAATCCTCTAAATTTCTACTATATAAGATAGCTACAGAAGGTTGGAAGAACTAGGAGGAAGAGAAATTCCATTTACACATATATTGAAAAACCCCTCACGTTCTTTGGGATTTAGTCCATAGATTTAAATGTCATCTTCAAATGTCTTTATTACATTAAAATAAATATATTACAGTGCAATTTCATTTTAACAGACTAATGGGGAGGGGAGGGAATGTCCATTACTCACAAAAGTCTGGTAAAGTGGACTTTACTCATTGCAGTTACACAGTTTATATTTGTGGGATGTCATTCAGTTTTGTAATGATATTATTACACAAATGACGTAAATTGCAAAGGAATTTGATCCATTGTGTATAAAGTCCATTGCACTGAGGTCTAGAAAACTGAGGTTTAACTGTATAGCAATGTTGTTTTTAAATAAACCTGCAGAAATAATATTGGAGTTTTGTTTAATCTAGCTTGTTTGATTGAGATGTTAAAAGAACTGTGCCGGTAAAGTAAAATTTATAGCTGTAGAATTCAAATATTCAGTAGTTATGATGCCTCAAATTTGGGCTGTTGTGGAAGGTATTGTGTATGAGTAGCCACTGGGTTCATTCATATGATTTGTTGACATTTATCTTAATAGCTTGCCAAGAATATCGGGAATGCAGGATTTAATGAGATCATGGAATTTTGTCTGCCAGGAGATGAACTAGTCAAACCCAGTCCAAGTAGTGATATGTAAGTTTGAAAGATGGAATGTTCAGAGTTGATATAGACGTGATTAAGAAAGTACAGTGTGATATATGCATTGATTTTGGCTTAATGTGTGAATGAAGCTAATATACTTTGTAAATTATGAGTTCTGACTTAGTGATTTAAGGGCACCAATTTTGGCTCTTAAAAGCTTGAAGAGAAAATTGGTCCGATTTTCATAAATTTAAGGCGTTCTGTTGATGTCTTAAGTCATATAGAAATGAACCAAGAGTTGGACCATCTCATGTTCATGTGAACTTAGGAGGTGATCTTAAGCAAGCTACCTTCAAGCCTAGCCCCATTTGCAATCTGAACACACAAAACTATTTTAAAAAGGAACATGAAGTTCTTAGACCCCTCTGGTATTTTCTATATTTACTACTAATATTACTGGTAATAACTTTTGGTTACTGGTGTAAATCAAAGCAGACAATAAGCTCTTGACCAAAAGAGTATGTGAGATATCAAAATAGCAATTGAACTCGACAGTACCATGAAAACTAATTTGGAAATAGGATTCTGTTAATTGCTGAAAAATTCTGATGTGCCAAGGTGAGGGGGATGGTGGGATTTTTTTTTCCCTGTAGCAATCTATAAATGGTCACCAGGCAATCTTAAAGTCACTGTGGTCTGTTTTTTCTGACAGAACTTCCTTTTCCACTTTTCAGGCAAAGTGTCTTCAAAATCTGAGCATGCACAGGAGATGGAAATAGAAAGTCCCATTATAGAAGCAGACTTTTGCTGGGTTCTGCCGATGCCAGCTGGAATCAGCTGTTATGCTAAGAGAATGCCCCTTGTTATTTTGGTGTCTTCAGCATCCCTTGCACCTTCAAAATCAGTTCTGGAGACTTGAGGGGTCTTCTGCAGCAGATTTTGGACACATGGGAAGCTTTAGAGCAGTGTTTTTCAAATTTGGCAACTTTAAGATGTGTGGACTTCAACTCCCAGAATTTCCATGGCTGCATGCTGGCTGGGGAATTCTGGGAGTTGAAATCCACGCATCTTAAAGTTGCCAGGTTTGAGAAACACTGCTTTAGAGGGTACAAAAATGGATTCTTCCACATGTTCACAAATTCATATTTTTACTTGGATGCAAGTTTTAAGTTTTTATTATCAAATTCCTATAAATGCACATAGCTGTATATAGCTTTTAAATTTTCCTTATCCTACCGTGGGTTAGAGGAAGGGAAAATAAATTGTGTACAAATAGTCCTCACTTACCAATGGCTTTGTTTAACAATTGTTTGAAGTTACAGTGGTGTAAAAAAAAATAGCTTTGTAACCAATCTTCGCATTTACCACTATTGCAGCATGTGATTGCTGCTTGTGTGCTTCGCAGCTGGCTTGTGACAAGCAGAGTTAATAGAGAAGGCAGAATAAAATAAGTCGCAGTCACGTGATGTTTTGCTTAATGACCGAGAGAGAAGTGAAGTTGTAAGCCTGTTGCGGTCACATGGTGTTGTACTTAACGACCATGGCGCATAGTGATGGAGTTTCTGGTCCCAATTGTGGTTGCTAAGCAAGGACTACCTGTATAACTAAACAAATAAGTAGCTGCTTATTAGGAAACTGTAGCAATGGTAAAAGGTTAACTGAAACTTCAGCTTTGGCTTTCTGCTAGACCCCAAATTCTCATTCTTATTTTCTGTCCTTCATGTGACATAGTTCTGAACCTGTGAGTTTTTCATGAACCTGGGAAAAAGTGCCAGGATGAATTAAACTGAGAATCTAATTGTACATAAGAATTATCAATAAATTTGAATCTAATAACAATTATTGCATGTTTTTCACTTGTATTAAAAATACTCAAGTAAATAAGTGAGAACTCAAGAGAGAAAAGGAGATAAAAGTAATGGGAAAATATTTTTTTTCTAGTAACTTTTCCAGTGTTTTAGGTAAAAGGGGAATAAATACAGTGGCACCTCGTTTCACGAACTTAATTCATTCCACGATTTTGGTCGCAAACTGAATTGGTCGCGAACCGAATCAAATTTCCCCATAAGGTTCAATGTAAATAAGGTTAATCCATTCTGAACCATATGTATTTTGTTTTAACGACAAAAATATGAAACAAAGTACAGTACAGTACAGTATGAAGAGAGAGAATGTACACAATTTATTTTCCCTTCCTCTAACCCACGGTAGGATAAGGAAAATTACAATTAGATTCTCAGTTTAATTCATCCTGGCACTTTTTCTGTACACAATTTATTTTCCCTTCCTCTAACCCACGGTAGGATAAGGAAAATTTTTTTTAACCACAAAAATATGAAACAAAGTACAGTACAGTACAGTATGAAGAGAGAGAACACTAACCTTGCTTGAGGTGACACCAAAAAGCTTCACAGCAAGTGTCTGTCTGTGACTGCGATCTCGCCTAGAGGAAGCCACGACCATGTGTCAGAGCAGGGAAGATGGCCGCAGGTCGTGTTCGTCACCCAATGCGGAGTTCACGAACGGAAGCAAAATTTTGCGAACGCTGCTGTTCACGAACCGAATTGTTCGTGAACAGAAGCATTCGTGAACCGAGGTATTACTGTAGTGGCGAGTTGGCATTTGAAGGGATTAGACTACCCACTGGGATTTGTAGCAGATTCTCTATTAATTTGCACATAGAAAATTAAAGAAGTGACTTCAGCTAAAAAAGAGCAATAGAGCAATACTGTATGTTTTTTCTAAATTCAGTCTAGAGATCTCCCTTGTATAATTTAAGGAACATATCTGTTGAATTGATTGGCAGTTGTTTTACCTTCCTGGGGAAATAATAAACACCTGCAGGGATCTATATTCACATATCTGGGTCATTGTTTTTCCAATGGATAAATAAATGCTCCCAAGTTCAAGATATTCACAGATGTGTCAGAGGAGGAAAGGTCATTACCTCCTGCAAACGAAATCCATGACGTTTACATGAGCCATTGTTTATTAGTAGTGTTATGCATATCATCTATGTTTTGCAAAACGAATATTTCAGCTATTCATCATGCCCCATTTTGTGAAATATGTCATATCTCATTTCAGGAATGCTAGAAAAGATTATATTAATGCCAAATATATTGAAAGAAAATATGCGAGGAAAAAATACGCTGATAATGTGACTAAACTACAAAACCTTTGTGAAGCAGTCAGAGCAAGAGACATTTTTGGACTAGTTCAAGTGTATGCTGATGGTGTGGACCTAACTGAGAAAATTCCATTAGCAAATGGTCACGTATGTATAGAAACCTTCTGTTAATTGCTTTTTGAACACAAATGCTATATTTGTAGAAAGGAGATCATAAGGTGTTTCTAATCTTTTAAATGTATGTCACTCACTATCACTCTTTCTATGTTGTTAATTTAAAAAAGAAACAAAGAAAAGTCCTTCCATCTGTTACTTTGCATTTTGAAGGGGACTATGAAAATTAGATAATAGAAATACCTTCTGCTTGAGAGGACTAAACACATATTAAAACCTAATCATAAGTCTTTTCCCCCTAAGAACATGACATGTATATCTTTTAAGATGCAACATTATGGGATGAATGTAGGTTCTATGGCACATTCTCCCCAGTCTTGATACCTTCCAAAACTATTGTTCTGAGCCTCCCTTCCCTCCCCATCTGCAGTAGCCATCTCTCTGACAGGTAGACATAGGGAATCCTCACACAACACTCCCTGTAGGGAAGCAGGCTACTGCTAAGGAGTTAAGGAACTGACTCTGTGTGTATGTGAGTGTGTAAAATGAATGTTGTGTTGACTGAATGTACATTAAAGAATACCATTAATCCTACACCCAGTCTCAGATTTAAATATGAGAAGAATGGGACTGTGATACTTATTTCTACTGTTTGTTCTTGCACTAAAAGGAGATTATTTGGCTAAATAATATTTTGGATTCTATGCCTTCAAAACTTCCTTCTTTGTCCTTTCCTATAAAGCTAAGTTATTGAGAGACAGTGATATGCTGTTAATACTCTCCATTCTTATGTGTCCACTATATCCATTTCTTTGTTTAGCATTAAGGAATTCAACTCACCTATCTTAATTTGGAAGCTTTTAGTGTAAAACATCATACATAATGTTACATATTATGCCCTTCTCCATCTATTATATGTCTTAATTGGGTTAGGGGTGAATTATGCTGTTTGCATTTGAAGATAGATGTATTTAAATCTCAGCTTCCTTAAATGAACTAGAATACAGCTACAGTATTTAAGTTTTAAGAGTTTTAAGAGTTTTAAGAATCTGGAGTAGAGTTTTGTGAATAAGCCTGTATAGAAATGTGTGCACAAAAATGCATTTGTTGATGAAAACATTTTACAAAAAGACAAAATTGTTTTGTATGTCAGGAAAAATACATGCACAAATGCATATATCCTACCTTGGGAGAAATGAGAATGAAAGTGCATACTAATTTTTGTATGGGCTTCAAAGTGAGATTCTGACCATATAGAATGGGATAGAATAATATTGAAGGGCAAAATGTATTCTAGATTGAACATGTCTAATTTTGGCAAGCCTTAATGTTTGCCTGATCCTGAAATATTAAGATGATCTGGAATATTAATAGTTTAGGATTATGATTTATTATATTTGTTAATTAATTATCCTGAAGCAGAGGCTCCCAACTCTTCCTAGCACCATTATCCCTCCAGTCAAAGGTCCTTCCTCACATCTTTTATATTGTTATGGTTGGTCGCACAGTCAGCCAGATGTTTAGACTGGATTTGGGATAGTTATCCACCTATCGAGTCCTTCCCAAGGACCTGGATAGGCAGATGTTGTTTGATGGTGTTAAAAGTATCGTCGCAGGATATAAGCTGTTCTAAATAAAGCTGCCTTTTGCAACTGACTGATGGTGGTTTTGTCAGTGCTGATGGTCTTCAAGTGGTGCTCCAGATGTTTTGGGATTGCACCTAGGACACCTATTATTATTGGTACTGTCTTTGCTTTCTTTTGCCATAGTTGTTCTACTTCTATTTGCAGGTCTTTATATTTTGTGATTTTCTCCAGTACTATAGCTTACAAATCAAACACTACTTTCTAGCACCACCATTTCATTTATATATTGAGACTTGTCAGTTCTCTGTGGAGCCCACCTTTAGGTAGCAGAGATGGCATTTTAAAACATGTGATTGTGGAAAACTTGGCCTTCAACATCTATTAATAAAATTCTTCAGAGCAAAATAAGAGTTTCTGAGTCCAAAGGGCTTAACCTCTAAAATAAACCCAGAATAACAAAAAGGAGGAAGGAGTAAGTAGAGGGTGCCTCCTAATGCTGCATTATCTCCTTAATTTTGGCCACTGAACTCAAATCTGGCTGTTAAAAAAGTGAAATTATTTGAAAGCCAGATTTGAGTACAGTGGCCAAAATTGTATGATGCAACAATAAACAGTAGATTCAAAACTTATTTTCAAAAATGTTTTTGTTTGGTGTTGATCAGAAGACAGACTTTATGTATTTCAGGAACAAGATGAAACTGCCCTTCATCTTGCAGTGAGGTCGGTGGATCGGACTTCACTTCACATAGTTGACTTCTTGGTACAGAACAGGTGAGCCGTCCATGACTAAACAGTTTGTTCACATGTCAGTTTCATTACTCAGAATTGAAGAAAGGACTATTTCTGTAAATATGCTTGTTAAAGTTGATGAAAGCAATTGTATGATTATCTCAAATCAAGCAAGCTTTGGAGAGCCCTTCTATACAATCAGTGCAAACTAAGTTTTCTCTCTCTCTTCTTGTACAGTGGCAACCTTGACAAGCAGACGTGTAAAGGTAGCACTGCTCTGCATTACTGCTGTTTAACAGATAATGTTGAGTGCCTCAAACTGCTCCTGAGAGGAAAGGCTTCAATTGAAATAGGTAAACAGAAAAGGGGTACTTCTTGGTGTTATGAACATAAAGGTCTACTGTAAATTTGTTACTGTTTGTACTCATTCTTTCTCTCTCTCTCTCTCTCTCTCTCTCTCATATGCACACATGCATGCACACACACATTAGAGGGCAGTATGTCTAAAAGATGGGAACTTTGTACTTAGTCAATGGTATAAAAATGTATGTTATGCTACCATAGTTTTATGTGATTTTATAGCCCAGTGTCACAGGAACTAGATGGTAATACAAGTAGTCCTCACTTAATGACCACAATAGGGACCGGAAAATTGGTTGTTCGGTGGGGCAGTCATTTAGCAAGTCAGCACATGACCGGACCTGATTTTACAACCATTTTTATGATGGTCATTAAGCAAGTCAGTGCAGTTATTAAGCGAATCACATGTTCGTTAAGCAAATCCAGTTTCCCCAATGGACTTTTTTGCCAGAATCCGCTTAACACCCACATGATTTGCTTAATGACTGTCATAAAAGTTGCAAATCGCAGTCACGTGAACATGGGGGTGGTGCAACAGTTTGTGATGGTCGTCAGTGCGAGTACAGGTTGTAAAGCACTTTTTCCGAGGCTCTCTTAACTTCAAACCATCCTTAAATGGTCATTAAGCAAGGACTACCTGTAGTATGACTCTATAATGTGAGAAAAATGTTCAGCTAAGCTGAAGAATCATGTTTTATAATGTGGACAATATGCACTAAACATGAATTAATCCCATGGATAAATTAAGCCAGTTTCCCCCCACCTGGTTTCCCAGCATATGTCTTATATTTTGGTTCCTATGATCCCTAGACAGTATGACCACTGATGAGGGGATATAGGAGTTGCACATCAACATATACAAGGCCACCAAGTTAAAGAAAGACAAATAGGAGGAGGAAGGAGTATTAGATATGTTTATTTATAAAAATAAGAAAGGCAGAATAAAAAATAATCTAAAAACAAAAAACAAAAACTTAAAATAAGTAGCAACTAAGATGTCTGTCTTTGGCCAAACTGTGCCTAATGTTTAATTTATTTTCATTTTGTAAACTACTTATACTATGTTTTTAGTAATATCAATTAAAGTTACAAACAAAAATGAAACATTTTCCTTTCACTGATTTGCAGCAAATGAAGCTGGAGAGACACCACTTGATATAGCTAAACGCTTAAAGCACACACGCTGTGAAGAGCTGGTAAGATTTTCTTTCTTTTCTTTTTTTCAGTGCAGAACAATGTGCAGTTATTTAAAAGGTTAATGTGAGATTTCTGTGGTATTTTACTAAGAATGTTGGAAACATTCTTAATGTTTATTTAATAGAGCTCAGTAGAGCACTATCCATGTACTTCCCTTACATTAGCTGAAACGGTACATGATGTATATAAACTGTGTTGTCTTGGACAACCCCTTCCATATGTACTGCCATATCTAGAGGTAATGCATTTGAATTACAACAGAGTTATCAATATACTGAAACTTTAATAGAAACATTAATAATGTATTGCCAAAGCACTTTCTTCAGTGATCTTCATGGTCACAAAGGCTCTTTTGAAGGAAGGAAATGGATAGGGAACAGAATTTAGATGTCTTAGGCCACTGATTTAAATCTCTAGTGAGGATATGATTCCAACTGTAATTTCCTATGCCTTGTCTAGCTGTTTGATTTTGAATTCCTTAGTACTGTATTCAGCTCAGAATAGCAGTGGCTGAAAATCAGAAGAGTTTTCTGGGAGAGACATTCCTGAGTGCTTATTAAGCTCTGGGATCTACTTTCCTAATCAGTATCAGCCTGGTCATCCCTGGGGAAAGCTTCTTCCTTATTTGTTTTATTGGTTTTGATATTTATTTGCAAATTAGTCAACCACCTTCCAGGACTTAAAGCCTTCACATTGGGAACTGAAAGTGATAGACTGTAATCATAGAGAGAATCATCTCTTAAAATTATATGTACCAATAGCTCTAAACTGAATAGTGTTAAGAATCTCCAGGACAGCATCTACTAAAATGCATTTGTCCTCAATTTTTTTTGAACTGATAAAATTGTAACCAAATTAATGTCAGAAGAACTAGAAAATTTAGAAAAATCCTGTGGCATCCCCATAATGTTAGAACATAGATAATGCTGGTGAGCTTATGTGTTTCTAAGAATAGTTCTTACTGCGATACTAGATTTTTATGGGCAGGTATTTTTTTCACACTTTTACCAAAAGCAGAGCAGGTTCTTTGGAGAAATAGTCAACTACGCAGTTTCAGAAGGGCTATATCAGATATTGAATGTACAATAATTAATCACAAGTCCTTTCCATAATTCCTTTGAAACGTCTCATAGTGGTATTTAAATTACATTATTGGGGGATAGTGACAAGACCCTCGCTGGGGTATTTTTTATTTGCTCTATAAATAAGTTCTCAATCAAAACCTTTATAAGGTTCTTTAAATATCTTCAACATAATTTTGCACTTAAAAAGAAAGAAGTGAAAGGGGAATAGAAAATAACTTGGTTCCAGATCTGTTTAAAGATATTGAATTTACATCACTGATATGGACTGGGTTTCATAAAGCCTAACTTTGGTTCTTTAGCTTGCTCAGGCTCTAGCTGGACGGCTTAATTCTCACGTTCATGTGGAATATGAATGGCGATTACTTCATGAAGACTTGGATGAAAGTGATGATGATATGGATGAAAAACTGCAGGTATGCATTTGGATACTTTGTGGCTTTATTGAAGCACTCTTAAATACTTCTGATTTCTCAGGTAACAGGCTATTGTGAATGAGACAGCAGAAAAAGGAATAAACTAGGAGCAAGCAACTTTTCTGGTCCATTAGGCAATTTTGAGAGTATGGGTGGTCGCTGTCCAAAACCATGATACAGTTACAGACAGACAAATTGCTGCTGTGGTAGGTATGGCACTTAAAAAAACAGAGCTCCCATTTACCAGAAAGACAAAATAGTGCATTTGCTTCCCGCCACTCTCTCTGATCCCCTACGTCCGCTCAGTTTACGTGTGTTGTTTTTCTTGGCATGCTTCCAGTCAAAACAGTGAGAGCCCAGACATATTCTTGGAAATAAAGTTGATGCTGCAGGCTGGCGATCTACTTTGTCAGAAACCTCCCCCACCTTTTATTAATTAGATTAATTTATACAATATTATGAACAGATAGGGAAGGAAATTACTGGATTCCAAAAGAGGTATCCATGGATACACTGTAGGCCACGAGCACTGTGTTATCTACACTTGGAACAGACAGATATAAAGAAAGAAGATTATTATATTTTTCCTATGTCATATGGATTGTCATTTTCTGCTACCATTTTTCTTTGAGCTTATACAGTGCATTATCCTAACAGTATTATCCTAAGCATTGTAATATATAATCATGGTATTATATAATATATCAAGAGAATCATGATGTTCTGTTTTCCACATTTGCCTTTTAGTGAAACCATGTTTTCTGAACGCCATGCCTTTTATTTACTCAAGATTAAACTATCCATATCTCTAGACTTCTGTATTTCCATAGTCAGTCAGTTAGCTAATGTCCACTCCACAAAATGAATCACTGCTATATAACAATAGTGAATCCTTTCTTGTCCCTTCATATTCTGGCCTGTTGGGAAAAGTAGCCCTAAAAACAGCAACAACATGGCTATGACATATAAAAGCAATTCAGTTTTTAAAAAACAAAGTGAACTTTGTGCAATCTTTCCATTACAGTGTTTGGCCTTTATACTACATTGATAAAGAGCGAGTTCAAAGGCAGAGAGAGTTCTTAGGATCATTGTCAGCCTCTCAGAGCTAACACAGATTCTCGGAGATTGGAGTGGTAAATATGTTAAAGATATAAATGCCTTCCCTCTCTGATTGCTAATCACTGGCAGTTGCCATTGGTTGCTATGTGATGGGAGTCCTCTCCAGCTGTCCTTCCTAGAGAAGATGGTGATTTGTATTTCCTTTCTATTCACAAAAACAATGAACATCTGATTAAGCAAATGCAAGCCCTAGCTATCAGTCAACTTTCCAGCTCACTTTTTTTTTCAAACATTGCTTGCAGTGCAGATTAAATCTGTAATCCATGACATGTGGTGTATATTAATATGTGTTCTTTCAGCACTTTACTGTTGAAATAGAAGCACTTTAAAGAATCAATCCTACATTAGGAGTTAACGCAGAAAACTCAAATGTTTGTGTTTATGTATAGTTGTTACAGGATCAATTTTTAAACTCAAAATAGGAGATGTTGTTATATTCTTCATAAAAAGTAGCTAAGGAAGTTACTGGCTGTCACAAAGAATCTGTGCATCAGCTTGATATCCGTACTGAATACAGGTAGTCCCTGGGCTAAGAACTCCCGAGTTAAAGACAATCCATAGTTAAGAACGGAGTGTATTGTAGCAAAATTTGAGTTAAATACACAGTTAAATTACACAATACTACTTATACAGTACTATACAATAATGCTGTTCTGGCTTACATACAAATTCAACTTAAGGACAGACCTTAGGGACGAAACTGGTTCTTAAACTGGGGACTACCTGTAATGCCTACAGAATTTCATTATGGATTGTTTTGAAGGGACCGCATTTTCTGTCATAATCATATAGCAGATTTCCATACCATCCTAGAGCAAATGCAAATAAAAAAGAAGTAAATTGGACATTTCTCTCTTCGGCCAATGTTTTATTTAGTTTCACCTTTGTGGCTGTCCAATTCAGTGATAAAGTGAGAATTTAAAAGCATTTCACTGCTTAATTTCTTAATAGGCTTTCAGACTACAGGGACTTGAGAAAAGAAGATTAAGGGCTGTTAATACACAACTGATACCATTACCTTGAAGGCATGATTGAATTTTACCACTTCCACTTGCCTTAAGCCATGACAGAGTTGTGTCCTTATATTCATAGCAAAGATACAAAACTGAGATTAGCTTCTCTAATCTACAGACTGTTCAGTTTGTTAACATTAATAAATGTATCATCTTAACTTTAGTCCATGTATTATTGCAAGGCAGCTTACAACGAGATTTCCTAAAATGTGAGTTTCTTGTTGAGGGAGGACTTGACCTTGGGTCCTTTTTAGTCCAAGCTCCCCAGTTCAACCCCAACTGCCATTCAAACACTTAGAGTTTAAATCTATGCCTGCCTGAAATGTGTATTCAGCAAAAACAATAGTCCTTCTGTCGCCCTCCAGTTGTCAGGCTGCATGTTTGGCCTCTTTACCTTAAACATACATTCCTTTTTTCCATGATTGTTTATAGGTTTTCTTTCTCTCACTCACACATGTATAAAGGTTTCTGTTTTATTTATAATTGGGAGAAGTTAAAAAAATGAAGAGGTGCATTTTGAAGTATATCCAGTTGGAATAACCCCATGGTAGCTGTATTTAGAATTAATGTCTTAGTTATTGCAGAAAGACGCTAAATCTCCAGTACTTCCTGTCTAGTATATTTAGAACTTAAAACACTTGCCAATGTGGCTCTCTTTTGGATTCTTCTTTTTTATAGCAAGCCAGCCCCAGTCGAAGAGAGGACAGACCTGTAAGTTTCTATCAGCTAGGATCAAGCCAGCTTCAGCCTAATGTCGCCTCTCTGGCAAGAGATGCTGCCAATGTAGCCAAGGACAAACAGAGAAGCTTTATGCCAAGCCTGTTACAAAATGAGACCTATGGAGCCGTTCTCAGCAGCAGCCCACCTCCAGTCCAGCCTGCAGCACCTGTTACCAATGCACCTCCCTTGCCCCCCAGAAATATTGGAAAAGGTACTAATGCTCTAATGCTTTACAAGATGAGGAACTGCAGGAGCCTGTTTAGTCCCCCCCCCCTTTGAAGATGTGGGGTTTATTGTTAATTTGTCCAAGTAAATACTAAAATTATACATTGCTTGGAGGGGACTTCCTTTTAACTTGGCATTAAACTGCAGATTCTGCTCTGTACGCTCAGAATAGAGAAGAGAAAAAAGAATATGCTGAAATTAAATGCCATATAAGAATCAGGGCCTAATTTTTTAAAAATATCTGACAATAAAAGCAAAAAGCCAAGTTTTATTATCATTACTTTTGTTGTATTGGGATATGTCACATGAGATTTCTAACTTATAACTTGAACAAATGGTTACATTATTATGCTGTTTGAAGATGCAAATGAATATAAAAGCCAGAACTAAATTCCATCAAGAATTCAAATATTTACATCAATTTTCAGTGTAGAAATTCAGTTTCACTGGCTATGAACAACTGCATTCTAAAGTAGGACATTTAATCTAAAGTTTATTTCCTCTTGATTTTAATGATCAAATTGCTTAGTGACTTTTTTTGGAAGTCTTTTGGAAATAAATGTGAAGTATGCTGTGCAGCTTGCAAAACTATACTACTGTGAATCTCCTCAAATATCAATTTCTCTGATTGGAGCTTATCACAAGTACTGCAGTTTTACCCTTGTGGTAATTAACCTGTAAATATTATTTTTTGCAGTATGCAGCTTGTGCTTAGAGAGCCTCCTTAATTTAGTGTATCTTTGATAGTGTAACTGCATCAGTTGCACAAAGAACCATGGAAAAATGTCAGCTTTGGGAAATGATGCTCTAGATTGGGTCAAATGCTCAACTAAATGGGTTGATGTAGAAATTGAACAGAAGAGGAGCAAGAAAATACCCTTTTTTCACCCCCTACAAGTTGGAACTTTTCCATAGGTGGCCTAATGGATTTCATCTGATTTTCAACACAGCTTTGCAGTGTTGTGTAATTTATAAATAAGAGTAATCAGATATCAACCTTTTCTTAAGATCTTCCTTTTGGTTTAGTGTTTTCTTCTAGAAATGAGATTGAAGATCTGTTTAAAATCCAAAAGTACAGCATAAAGGACCAAGCTTAATAGCTGAAAATATCTGAGGTCACTTTGAAGTTTTCCCTTGGAGGGCTTTGTGTGCTTTCTGCTTTTATGCCAAGAATATGCAGTCATATGTCTCCTCCTTCATGAGGGCTGAGTGTATAAATCACTTGTTAAGAGCATAAAAAATGTATCTAATCCCTAACTGGAGGGATGCAAGAGGTCTTGAGTGTGTCAGGGTCATGGCTGTCTCTTTCCACTGATGGAGTGGAGGCTATATGTGCACTGTGTGTGTGTGTGTGTGTGTGTGTCAGTGCAAGGGGTGGGCTTGGGAACATGCCTTCATCATCCCTATATGTAGGCTGCATGTGAGCAGCAGCAACGGTCCCTAACTGGTTGATATGAAAAATGCTTCCAGTGCTGCTGGCTGTGTCTCTCTCATTTTTACGATTTTTAATATATTTTCTGCTCCTCCTACAAGAGAACATTGTCTCAATAAACATAGGGCATTTATGACAGCTATTCTGATAAAATGAGAGTTTGTAATTGCTCTGCTTATTGAGAGATTGAAAAAGTGGGACAGTGAAGCACTTTATAGATTGAATTACCTTTCAGAGGTAGCAGGTATGGGCATTGTGAAAGAAATGGATGATTGACGTGTTTTTTTCTCAGCTCTTGTTTCTTCTTCAGAAACAAACAAAAAAAAAGTTGGCAGAGCAGAACATTCAGCTTTCTGAATGGGGGATGCTTATACAACAGGGTAAGGAAGTTGTGGCCCTCTACATACAGGAAACTACCATTTCCTGCAGCCCCATCTAGTTCAGCCAAAGTAGTGGGATCCTGGGGTTTTTGGTACAACAGCACTGCTTCCACCTCCCTGTTAGAGAACATAGTACCGTACTTCTAGGAGCAAACTTTTCATTAATTAATATTTTGTGAGGACAAATAGCTAAAATAAAATCGCAGCATTTAAGGGTGCAGAGGCCCAGCCAAGATCAGCCTGGGTGTTATTTTCTTTTTCCTTGGTGATATACACAGTTTATGCTCTCAAGCTAAGTATGTCCTCTCAGCAAACTAGGCTGCTGCTTTTGCCTCATTAACTAACAAACTGTACAACTTTCCTTGCTGTTGTTACTGCTTTTCAAAACCTATTATTTCAATATGTTGGTTATCAGCAAAGTACTTCTTAGCTCTTGTTGGATCATCAGGGAAGAAGTGATTCACAAATTAACATATATAATTGCCTCACCTCACCAGCTGTGACATGGCCAGAAATCTCTAAGATACCTAATGCTACAGGAGGCAAAGTAGCCATTTGACTCGCCCATTCATTTCCTCATCTGTCATCTGCCCCCTTTACATATCTGTTTTGTGGCATATCTGGCAACCAATTTGCCACAGAAGGTGAAAAAAGAAATGATAGGAAGTGGGAGCAACCATCATTGCCTTGTCTGCCATCATATCATATCAGGAGACTTAAAGTTCCAGCTCATCAGCTGGGATAAGAGAAAGCAGTTGTTTTCCTTATACATCCTAACTCAATTGCCTGTTTTATCCATTTCCCTAAATAGCATGATTTATGTTACCATTTATGGTATTAACTGAATCGTCTTAAAATTGCACGAAAGCACCAATAATTCTGTGTTTAAAAAATGTGTTAAACAAATTGGATTAAGGAATATAGTTACATCTTGACGATGTGCCCTGTTGAAAATTATTGTTTGAAGGTAATATGACATTTTTGACTCCATAGAGCAATGGCTGCATGGACTAACTGGCACACACCTTATCCAGAAGCTCTGTTCCAACATTAGAAAAGCAGAGTGCTCTGCAGAACCTCATCCCCTCTGGGATGCCATGTCAGTAACTTTTTTGTTTGTTTCTGCAAATGAACATGATTTCAGAGTACAGTTCCTGGCCAACATGAATACAGTTGTACCAGTGAAGATGTTTGTGTTGCAAATGTTCATATTGAAAAGATGAATATTGTAGAGAAAGGACATTGCTGGAGCAATGTTGGCATGGGACATGGCACGTGGAGTTCTCAAATGTGAGGTATTCTGCATTTGTAATGCCTGATCCAGGCCTTGATGCCACATGATTCATGATAATGATACCTGTCAGAACAGGGCCTTAGAAATGGCCCAGTCCTTCTTTAAATCTGAAGTACATGTACTTCTGGATTGCAGCCAGTCCACTGAAGTAGAGCTATTTGCTCATTTCACAGCCAACTGTGATTATAATAATAATATAGTGTTCTCCTTTCTTTTTAGTTCAGTCTTCATTTCTTGGCAGTGCTGTTCAGACAACTTCTTCATCGAACACACTGTGGAAGACAAATTCTTTAGGAATGGAAAGCATAAGCAGGCAAAGGTCTTCATCAGATCCACCAACTGTCCATCCCCCTGTTCCACCATTGCGTGTAACATCTACAAGTATGTTTGCTCTTTTCCACTGCTTTCCTGGTTTTTGCTGCATCTAATCATGGTTGGCCTTGACTGTCCATTCCACAACTCATTCTTCTTTCTCTCTGGTGAACATAGGTTTGCTATCTTATTTTCTGAATATCAATAATTTCTTTCAAACAGAGCTGAGGACACAGTATTTCCAGGTAGCTTTGCAAAGAGTTCAGACTGTCCACACACACAGACACACACACACACACAAATATTATTTAATTATCCTGATCTTGCATTGGGATGATCTGCTAATGATTGCTTCTGAAATTATACTGGAGCTGTGTGTATTTCATGGAAAATATTATTAAAAACATGATGATGTTAAACACCTCTCATGAAGGTTAGTATGTTTACCAGCCATGGAATTACACCCTGCAAGTACCTTAAATTAATCAGTTTTCTGCTAGTTTAGCTTTCAGTGTATGATTTTCTAGAGAGACATCCATGATAGTCTCTTGCAGTGAAAACAAGAGGAGAATTTTGAAGAACTTGTGAGTGCATGCGTTCATTATATTTAATACTCAGTCCATACCATGTTAATGTAGTGGATTGTGGGTGGCTATACACGAGTGAATCTATTCAAATGAGATAAACTAAATACTTCTAATGTGTACAACAGCTAAGACCATGTATCATCAGTTTCTTACAATTCAATTCCCTTCACGTATATGCAGAAGTATTCTTATTTAATTGAATTCCAGAAAAGTTTATTTAGGATTGTAGCCTATTCTGTGACTTGAGCCTTAACTTTTGGTATAAAAGGAAGATTAATTATCTTCCTATTTTAAAATAAAACATGCTTTTAAAGCATTATGTTATTTGGAGGACTCATTTCAAGCATTCCAGCATTCATCATCAGATTACTATTGTACATGCATTTTTATAGACATCCTCTCTTCAGCACCTCCAGCTGCAAAGACAGCCTGTGTTCTTGAAGCTTTGAACCAGCAGTCAAAACAACCAACTATACCGCAGGCCAAACCCACGCCGCCGCCACTTCCTCCACAGCCTCCAAGTCGAATAGCTCAGAAAAAGCCTCTTTCTGGGTAATTTGTGAGATTTACATTCTAAAAGTTCTGTTAAAAAAAAAATATATATATATG